TTTCACACAAAAGGAAGGGATTTATTTTAATGAAACTTTTTCTCCTGTTTCCACTAAAGACTCTTTTAGAATCGTTATGAACCTTGTAGCATATTTTAACTTGGAATTGCATCTGATGGATGTTAAGAATGATTTTCTGAATGGTGATCTCAATGAGGAGGTATACATGCAGCATCCTGAGGGTTTTGTGACAAGTGGTAATAAGCATTTGGTTTGTAAATTAAGAAAGCCAATTTGTGGTTTGAAACAGGCTTCTAGAAAATGGTACTTGAAACTTGATGAGGTGGTAACTTCATTGGATTTTGAAGAAAATAAAGTTGATCAATGCATCTATCTTAAGGCCAATGGGAGAGAATTTATCTTTCTTGTGTTATATGTTGATGATATTTTTCTTGTAAGTAGTGATCTTGGTCTACTTGATGAGACCAAACTTATGCTAACCAAGTTAATTTATATGAAAGATCTTGGTGAAGCATCCTTTGTGTTGGGAATTGAAATACACAAAGATAGATCACGTGGTGTGCTTGGTTTGTCACAAAGGGATCATGTTAATAGAGTTCTGAAGAGGTTCAATATGCAGAACTGTAAGCCATGAGATATTCCAATTACTAAAGGAGACAAATTCAATAAAGATCAATGTCCCAAAAATGAGATTGAGCAGGCAGAGATGAAGGGAAAACTCTTTGACAGTATATTGGGCAACCTGATGTATGCTAAAGTATGCACTAGACTTGACATTGCTTTCATAGTTGGCGTCTTGGGACGATACCAGTCTAATCCTGGGAATGATTATTGGATTGCTGCTAAGAAAGTGATGAGATGTTTGCAGATAACTAAAGAGTATATGCTTGTTTTTAGGAGAGTTGACAACTTGGAAATAGTTGGGTTACTAACTCTGATCTTGTTGGGTGTGTTGATGATAGGAAATCTACTTCTGGTTAAATTTTTATGTTAGTTGGAGGTGCGATATCATGGAAAAGTAAAAAAAAAAAAAAAAGAAGAAGCAAACCCTTGTTGCCTCTTCTACTATGCAGGTGGAGTTTGTTGCTTGTTATGCTGCTGCCACTCATGCTGTTTGGTTGAGAAATTTAGTGACTAGACTTCATATTGTTGATTTCATTGCAAAACCACTAAAGCTTTACTGTGATAACAATACAGCTGTGTTCTACTCTAAGAATAATAAAACTTCTAGCGGTTCTAATTATTTGGAATTGAAGTATTTGACAATCAAAGATCTTGTAAAGAAAAATGACATCGTTGTTGAGTATATTGGTACTGATTTCGAGCTAGTCGATCCCGTAACTAAGGAACTTATGCCCATTGTGTTCAAAAACCATGTTGAGAGCATGTGCATTGTGAGTTCTTGGATGTACTTGGTTAGCAGGAGTTTATTCTTTATGCTTTTTTATTATCATGTTATATTTTATTTTGGACACTTTAAGTGTTGGATTGTTAAGTATCTTTAATTTTGAGCAATTGATGTTACAATGAATAATATTATTGTTATTTGTCATTGTTTATTTATATGTCAATTGTTAAAATTAGGACTTAATGTCATTGGGACCACAATGCCTATGGTTGACACTAGTTTAGAGTTCGAGGTATGGTTATAATTTTAAGCTCGACATCTTCGATGCTATATTAGAGTTGAGGTATGATTTTAAGCTCGGCGTTGTCTGGACCACTTGTCTGTGGTCGACGCCATATTGGAGTTGAGACATTATGGTTTGTAAAACCGTGCAATTTTTTTTGGCTTCAATGCGTTTGAGAGATTGTTAAGGACTGACAAAGAAAATAGCAGTTGGCTGTTGGATCACATTAGCATGTTATTTTCTTGCCACACTCCACACTGATGACTAGTTGACAGAGTAAGTAGTATTTGTAACCACAGAAGGTTTTATGTCAATGAAGAATATAATAATCGTCGTGATTCAATATTTTTTTGCTTTTGTTGGATGGAGTCATATTCAGATACTGCACCTGGAATCATGCATTTCCTTAAAATGCGACCTTATTTTAAGGAATTAGTCATTAACTCGAGAGTCGTTTTTAAAATGTATTTTAAAATAAAAATCATACAATTGATTTTACCCAAGTGGAGGAATGTTAAATTTATCTAACTTTTTATGGGTTACAATCAATTGTGGTTTAGTTTATGAAAAACAGGTTAATCGTGATTCTGATGGGGTGCATATATAAGCTCTTTTATTAATTAAGTGATCCTTTTTAACTAATGGGTGAGTATCTGAAACCTAATTGGTGTGGGTAAAAGTGTGAGATTTTAACCTTTGACTCATATTGGATAGGGACTAGTGTTATATATATTATATGGCTAGGTCCCCTCTGTAATCACAAGAAGAATCAGAAACATAATTGACGACTTCACAACTTGCCCCATTGAGAGCTGTGAACGAGAGTGTGAGATACAAATGAAGATCTGGTCATTCATCTTTTCGAGATTCTGAATCATGACTTCAACAAGTAAGTGGTGATGTTCTAATTTCATATAATCGATAGATAAAATTTTCCGCTTACATCAACATCCAATACCGCTTCATCTTCTTCTTCCTCTTCTAACAAATCAACAACAATAATAATAATACAATACATTAGCGATAAGCTAGATGATTCATGACACATGAGATAAATAATAAATAACGAGAGCCAAATTAAACCCTGTTCTTTCTTCGCTTTAGGAAGTCGAAGCTTTATTCTCTGGAACTCTTTAAACCTTGTTTCATAAGCTAAACAAGCTTGAATTTCCTTTTCAAAAGTACAAAGACACTCTCTATTCTCATCAAATGGATTGCGAATCTTAACTGAACATTTTTCTGATTTGGTTCGTCTAACACCTTTGAAGATGCTTGTGGAAGTATATTTCTGCAGTATATTATTCAGTTGAAATCATTTGACTCTTCCCTTAACTTTCATGTAAATCTTTTTTTCTGACATTTTTTAGTTTTGCAACTCAAAATCTGATGAAGTAAAATGGAATAGATTATCATAATATTCACAGTATTATTGCATGCAAATGAAGTGAATAGAGTTCAAGAAAGTAAACAAATTCAGCATACAAGAAAAATGCAAATGACGATTCAAGAGTCAAAAGAAAATTTAAAAAAATGTATTGTTAGAGAGATGAAATAAAATAAATAATAAGAGTGATTGTTGAAGAATCTTCCGTGCCGGAAAAGAAGAGAAAGGTTGGGTTGTTGAGGTGCACTGGAATGATGAGTTTGGATTTTAGTTTTTGCATACACTTTTGAGTAGTCTAACTAACTAACTAACTTGTACCAGTATATATTGTCTTGTCAGCTTGGGTCACTGAGCCATGTTTTTTTTGAAGTCGAGGTTTTAAGTGGAGAGTGGGTGTGTTTAGTAATTTTGAATATTAGTCCACAACGAAAATTGTAGAGTGGTTAAGATCGAGTGTTAGTCCCCTGACGAAAAAAAAAAATTTAGTGTGCAAGGAACACTTGGTGAGGTTTGACATTAAGATGTACAATTAATTAATTAGCATTGCATTTAGAGATTCCTCAAAATTGAGGCGAAGGTTGCTTTCCAATAATATAAAAAATTAGAACTTTTTAATTATAAGAAATAAAAGCCAAATTTTCTGGTAGTAAGGGTGACAAGATCTGCTTTATTTAAATTCGTCCAAATGTGGAACGGAGTAACTTAGACGTCCGAGTTCAAAAGTCAAGTTCGCCTTGTTTATTAATGAGTTAGCAAGTTGGCGGGTTAGTCCGCCAAATTTTTTTACAATTTAATTTACTATATAATTCATAAAATTGTTAATTATTAATAAAAAAACGACAGATTTTAACAATGCATAGTAAAACTTTAACGAATCTTAATATAAATGTCATTTTTTAGCATAAACAAACAATGTACTCCTAATACTAAAAATTTAAAACAAATACTATAAACTCCAAAAATCAAAAATTTATTATCATAATGAGAAACAAATCTCTATACAAAATTTAACTTATAGTTTTAGACCTCGGCTCTAATGCCAACGAATAATAAAAAATAAAAAAAATGTATTCTCTATGTTCTGCAATAAATACTTTTTTTTATTATTAGTGAAAAGAAAGAACGAAGCAGAGACAAATTAATGTCTTTAAAATAAAATGTTTGTGGTTATGTAAAAAATAAATATGAGAGTTGAAGAAATGATTGTTGTTTTAAAAGTATTTCTACTACATATCACGTTAATATTATTTTAATTCAAAATAAAAAATAATTTTTTAAACAAAAAAATATGTGGGTAAAACCTATCTCATTCCGTCTTCGATCTGTTTTAAAAGTGGATTAGACGGAACGAACCAACTTAAGACACTGAGTCGAAAACCTCGTCTCAATTCGTTAAAATGGTGGTTTAAATAGACGGATCCGTTAAACTCAAACCCGTTTTATCACCCATAATTAGTAGTTACCTCTCTATTACTCAAAAAAAAAAAATGTTTTCTGATACATGAATACAACACAGTAATATTTATGGCACAAACATTTATCATAATAAACGCTTAGTAATATTTAATTCTAAAGCAAAAGATTAAATAAATTAATATAATTTTGCATAAATTATAAACTCTTTATAATATATTTTAAACAGCTGTGAGCTTTTAAATTTTTCTTATGCAGCATCAACAACACAAAATGCTGGCTGAGACACCAAAAACTTGTCTTCTACAATCTAATTCAACTTTTTTTCACTACATATTTGTCCCTTAGGACCCTCAAAATTCCTATGGTAAAACCAAACTACCAAACCTTAATTCCACAGTTTTTGCAGGCTCTAGTCTCTTTCAATCTTCTATAACTTTTAACTACTTTTTCCCTCGTAGTTGTAGCCTCGACAAAACCAAAGACTACAAAAATCACCATTTTCCACTTTGTCATATATATAGTGACAAATTACAACAAATCAATTCACCATCTTATTATTAAGCTAGTTTTTCGCTACTCTTTTCCACAAGAGAGAAGAACTAAGAACCATGAAGAGAAGGTTCCACAAAGTTTGCACTTCTCTAAAAGAACAAAGTAATGTAAGTTATGCAAAGATTGCTTCTGCTGCAGGCTTCTCTGATATGAATCTCATCATCATAAAGGCGACATCACCGGATGATTTACCGGTTCATGAAAAATATATTCAATATTTTTTGAAACTCTTTTCATTATCTCCATCTTCATGTCATTCGTTTGCCATAAGCTTTACGCGTAGATTTGGAACTACTCGTAGTTGGAGAGTAGCGTTAAAGTCGTTGATTCTTCTTCATCGTCTTCTTCGTTCAGTTCAAGGAAACTCTCCTTTATGGGCTGAACTGTTATGGACTCGTTCCAATGGTTTGATCTCTCTTTATCCTTGTCATTTCAAGGATGCTACTTCTTCTTCATCTACTTGTTCCATTTCATACACAAATTTTGTTAGTTCTTATGCGCAATTACTCGATGAAGCTCTTAACTGTGTTGCGTTGGACAGCAAGAAACTTGACAAACAGAAATGCCAGGAAGAAAAAAGTGAAACTTTTCAAGAAAAAATGAAGGAAATGGGTGAGATACTTGAAATTTTGCCACAACTTCAAAGTATTATTGATAGGGTGATCGATTGTTACCCTATAGGAGTAGCAACAAGAAGTTTCATTGTTCAGTCTGCAATGAAACACATAATTCGCGACAGTTTCGTTTGTTACACAAAGTTTAGAGCAGAAATTGTTATTGTTTTGGAGAATCTTTTTGAGATGTCTTATAGAAACTGCATAGCTGCATTCAACATATACAAGAAATCAGCAGTGCAAACAAATAAGCTTTGTGAGTTTTATGAATGGTGTAAAGCAAGAGGGTTGTGTGGTTACTATGAATATCCTTTGTTGGAACCAATTCCAGGTATACAAATCAAAGCCTTGGAAAGTTTTCTGAGTGGTATGTGGCAGTTGACAGAGTCTAGTTCGTCGTCGATGTCTGATCAGGAGTCTAGTTCGGTTTTTACGGAAGATGATAAACAACAAAAAGAGATGATGAAAAGTAATGAAGAGGAGAAGCCTTTGATTGATCTAGAAGGTGAATATGATGATGATGTTAGTTGGGAGACAATGTTGGAATCTTCTGTTAGTTTTTGTCATTCTTATGATCAAAATGATTTGTTCAGTTCTAATCCTTTCTCTCAGCAAAGTTATGAATCAAGTTATTATGGGAGATTTGCTCTCAACCCTGCGTATCCTTGGGGTCTATAATGGAATTTTTTAATTATTTTTATTACATTTGTTGTTTTACAAATAAGATTAGAGTTGGTATCTTAATATACATGCATTCAATTTTAAAGGTGGTATTGAAACACTTATCAGTAGTCACTAAATTTATTAAAATAAACATATATAAATATCTCTTTTAATAGTCATTTTAGTCATTGTATTGATAGATAGAATATTTAGTTAACTAGTTTAGCATTCAAAGAGTTTTTTACTGATCAATTTAATTTATAATATTACAAAAAAAAATGTTAATACATTTATAAACTATAATAACTACGTCTCACATCTAAAATCAAAATGATTGTTTATTATTTATTAAAAATATATATAAAAAAAGGAAATTATTAATAATTGACATTTTAACTTAAATATGACATGTTAATTTAATTTGTTCAAGTAATAATCAACTTAAGGGGCAATATTTTCCGAAACTTGGGGTGAAATTATTGAGGCATTGCTCTCAAAATATTGATACGCGCAATTCAAAGATTCGGGCATTCATTCAGGAACTGGAAGGCATGGACTTAAAAGTTCTAACACTTATCATGTAAAACAACATAATGGTTACACTAACTTACAAAAATGTGTTTCCACTATTGGACTATTCATGTAAATGAAGGTTCCAGGAATCAATCAGATTCTCAAAGTGCATTTGATCACTGGCTACCAGAATAAAATATACAACATTATATACAAGTGTCTATGCCAATTCATATTTTCTTTGCACCCACTTTACTGGGGAAAAACAAATCATTTAAACCGTTTTAAATTTGGTACAAGTAGCAGATACTAGTAATGTGATCCCAGCACCTTTAAGAAATGAACAACCTTCAAATAAGTTTTACTTGTGAATCGCGTCCCTTTTAGTATTTATTTCCGATGCCTTCGCTTTTGATCAGCTCTTTGTCTCTTCTCATCATCCCATTCCCGGTCATATAAGCTAATAATAATCAATTAAGGACACAGCAGTGCATCATTATTAATGAAACCTACATTTATTAAATCTAATGAAAACATGAATTTCAACTTGAGTAAGGGTTTTTAACAGCTGTAAAACTGATGAACAGCATGCAATTTAGACACACATAGTATCATACCACATCATAATCGCAGCTTCCATCTCTGCATGGTGTAACAGAAAAGAAAAGAAAAAAGGCACGTAGATAAGAAGCACATGTAAACAGTCTAGAAAGACAGGAACTCATGAATAAAACAAACATGCATATCAGCCTAAGTATTTTGCAATTAAGGATACGGATCTATATCACGACGATTCAGCTTGTTGGCTACCTCTTTACCATGAATCCTAAGACTCGGTTCATCTATGTAACTAGCATGCTGGATCATTGGACCCTTTCTGTCTCTTGCATCATATGCTTGTGACATACCAATACTGGGGGGAGGAGGCGCGGGAGCAACTGGTGAGTACTCCCCTGGTTCCATAGTTGATAGATGTTCCCTCTTGAGTTTACGTCTCTTGGTTGCAGCATTTAAATCCAAATCTTCTTTAGGAATGTTTGCTTTCTCTCTTTCCCTTTCCTTCTCTTCTACCTGCAGAAAAGAAAGGCGATATGAGAACAATAAGAGTTATTTTTTTAAACTTGGTATTCGGCCCTAGAACCGACTAATCCAAGGGAGACCAATCCCACCGTCCACTTGTGGGGATGGACAAGCCCAACACAGGAATTGTTAGCACCTAACAGGATTCGAACCTAAGACCTTAAGAGAAGCACACTCTTAGTTCCCAAGCGGCCAAGCCTTCACCAACAGGCCAAACCCAATAGTTGTGTTGTCCATTCTATTTGAACACCAGAAGACAGGAAAGAGTATCGAGAAGCAAGCCTCAAAAAACAAAATTTTGAGATTTGAGAATAATAATTATGAAAAATGTTGCATTTGGAGCATCACAATTACAAATTTCTACTTGCCATTGCATACCAACTTAAAAGTATAACAGCATAAATCACAAAATCAAAAACAGGAACAAACCTTGGCATAATTCCACATTTGTTGCATTTTAACGTTAGTAATTGTGAATGTTATCCATCAGCTTCAAAAACAAGTTCATAGAAATCGATGCTTGGTAAATACTTGTGACACTCTTTCACTTGGCATCAAATTTGGTCCCTAAGACACTTATCAGTTATCCCACAGATTTTCATGCCAATCCATTTTTAATTAGTTAAAGAAATAATCACACTGTATTTTGTTCTTTTAACTACTAAATAATAAAATAAAATAAAAAATAAATAGTTCAGTGTAGACAAAGGGACCTACTCAACCTCTAAAAATCTCATATATGACTGATGTTGTTTTAAAGCTCGTGTACCCTAATAAAATGTTGACACTAATTGTAGGGTGATGCTACTTGTATAATAGTCCATTTTAAGCCCTTTCACCACAATGTACATATCCCTAGTAACACCCAGTAAATTAAGAGAATCGGTTTGTACTCTTAGAATTTGGGTCTTAACAAGCACAATATCAGTTCATACCTTCATTTCTTCACGCTTCCGATCTCGAAAATCATCATCTTTTCTACGTTTAGGATCCTCCTGCAAAGTCACAGTCTCTTCAGACCTTCTCTGTTCTTTTTCTTCATGCCTTGGAGAAAGTCTTTGAGAATGCCTTGTGGCTCCATACCTCCTATCAGCATCTTCATCACGCCTACCAGCCCCTACAGATTGAGGAACCATATTAGGAGGTAAAGGGGGTGGCGGAGGCAAGCTTTGTCCATGGAAGCGGCCATCAGCATGGGATTTTTCTATCAATGCATCATTATATCGTAATTTATTTCTATCATCCTTACTTCTGTCATCCTTAGCCTTGTCAGGGAGTCTATTAAAACTCCTCTCACTACCCCTCTCTTGCATTCTCTCAACAGATCGTTCTCTTCCATATCTTTCTATCGACCTGTCCCTGGGTTTTTCTACAACAAAATCATCACTACGGGACTTGTCCAGTCGGTCCAATCTTTCCCTGTGTTCCCTTTCATATCTTTCATTGCCTTTTTCTTTTGGCCTTTCCAATGTCTTATCAGCTGCTCTGTATATACCAAGTTCATCTGGCCCCACTTTATCATCAACCATTCGAGGATCCACCAGCTTCTCTCTTTCAGAGAATCGAACTTCACTCTCCAAATCTCTTAGATCAACATCCCCTTTCCTCCGTTTACCTAGTCTGTCTAGCTCATCAACAGAACCAGCTCGCTTCTGAATTTTATCACTAGACTTTGAGGTAGCTGTGTTTTCATGCCTAGGGGAATGTACTACGCGAGAAGAGGATCCCCTTGCGAAGTCAGCAATATCATTTCCATCATCCTTTGCCACAGAAGGCTTGGCAGCTCCAACCTCTGCCTTTGATTCAATGCCAGAACCATCAAATGAATTTTTTGCCAATGGAGCCAAGCCCTTTGCAGAACCTAAAACACTGTTACCATTAGCACTGACTGAAGAAGAGACGTTTGTTCCAGTGTGTCTTCCATCTGATGCATGGGCCTGAAGATCCTTGTCACTTGAGGAACCAGAAGTTCTAGCAACAGTTTTACCAGATCTACCATCTTCTTTCAAAAGATCTTGTTTTGATGGCTTCAAAAGTGAACCAGCAGCCACTGAACGTTTTGCAGAGGTTTTTGACTGAAAACAGGAAAACCACATCATTATGGATAAACATAAAACGAGTAAAATGGAAAACAGGACAAACAATAATTTTTGCAGGGGGAGAATCAACACTCCAAAGCCAAGTATGCACTAGAAATAGCGACATCCTTGCCAGGAAGTGTCCAGCAAGATGAATAAAACATCTATTACAACAAAAGAAAGTAACTTTAGCAATGCACACAGCTGCACCAAGAGAAGGTGTTTGTAAGTAAATTTACTTTTGAAATCGGCATTTTGTGTTATTCCATAAAATGAAACATACTGTAATGGTTTGAAACAATTAGATTGAGAAATTGCTTTAAATGTCTTACCACTTTCTTTTGAGAACACAAACTTGGGATTAAGATAAACTTATTATTTTTTAGTGATTAGTATGGACTTTAATTTGCAGAAAGTGTTTTTGAACTCGTCTTTTATCAATTACAGCTAGTAATAGAACTTTCTTCAGATGTCACGTATTCTCCCTGCTTTGTTTTCCTCTACTCGAGCAGTAAGTTGAGGCAATTAACAGTAAGTCAACAATGTGACAAGTGACGCAAAATGGTTTATAGATTAACCCGTCATACAAATGGAAAATGCTAACTACACAACATAACAGAGATGATTAAACTATACCTCAACATTTCTAGTAACGTATTCATCAGGTGCCCTACTTATTGATTCTTCCACTTGCTTTGAGTTTTCTGGGGATTTTAATGCCCCGGATTGTCCAGCAGGTGAGGGTAGAGAAGATTGAGCATCCAATCCATTCACCATTGAGTTACCCTTGAGTTTTACCTGGCCAGAATCAGATTTTGCCACTGTAATATTTTCAGTTCTTTCTGACTTGCCATCTGCAGTTTTTATTTTTGTTGTCTGGTCTTTGACTGTGTTTCCAGAGTCCAGATGTTTCCCACTGGCAGATTCAGTTTGAGAAACATGATGACCTGTTCCACTTTGTACAGCTGCAGAATTTCCCGCTGCAGAATTTCCCGCAGCAGATTTAGTCATAGATGGTGCCGGCTTCAATTCAAGATAACCCATACTAAATTCTTCATCGGTAACCCAAGAAGGCTGCATATTGGACAATATTAGTGGGCTAAAACAGACAACAAATAAGCTTGTAATAAGAGAATAGCATACCTTCCTAGCAGCCAGTGCTGCTGCTACACCAGTTGCCAAAACCTTAAGATCCTCTCTTTCATCACTTTTGATCTTAGCTACCTATATGGACGAGAAATATAGTTTTGAAAATGCAGCAGTAATCAAAATAAATAAATTGAATATAGGGATAGTTTACCCGCTTTTCAAGGTTTATCCCACTCTTCCGTGTAACTGGGAAAACACTAGAAATTTTAGTCAACATTATAAGAGCATTTCTAATCTCCATGTACTCGCTAGATTCCAGACACTGAATCAGTAACCGTGTGATTCTTTGACTCCATTTCCAGTGTACCTATCAGCAATAAATAAAGAAATATGAAATTGATTCGTAACCTGCGTTATCTTCAGTAAAGTCAGAAAGAAACAATTTAAGCCCTGCAAAAAACAAGTGAGAAAGATCTGGACAGCACATGCAAAAGGAAACAATTCTAAGCAGCTATAAACTGGTAAACAGATAACTTGCCTTAATGAACTGTCCATATGTAACTCGCTGGCTATTTGGATATCGATAATAAACAGCAAATCCCGGCATGTTTCCACACTCACGCTCATAAATAGATTCATCTTTCTGGAAATAATAGTAGGTAGTATTGCATTAGGAGAGACTAAGAAACATTTAGGATAAAACCATGTATTTGAATAGCACAACGGAAAATGGATTATATAGGAAAAAAAGTACAGTTCATACTATTAATTATATAGCTATTCTATTCTATTCTTAGAATACAATGAGGAATATTCTCTTTCTTTATATACATAAATATCAACACTCTCCCTCAAACTTGAGCATATAAGTCAAATGCATCAAACTTGTTACATATATAATTGGTTCTGGGGTTCCGCATGGATTTTGTAAACACGTCTGCCAATTGATCATTAGAGTTGACAAAATTTGTGGTGATGTCGCCTGACTCGATCTTCTCTCTTACAAATTGACAGTCTATCTCAATATGTTTGGTCCTCTCATGGAAGACTGGATTTGAAACAATGTGCAATGCAGCTTGATTATCACAAATAAGTGTCATTGGTCTTACTTCTTCAATTTAAAGTTCCTTGAGTAACTGTTTTAACCAAATAAGTTCACATGTTGCCATTGCCATGGCCATATACTCTGCTTCGGCGCTTGATCTTGCAACTACATTTTGTTTTTTACTTTTTCAAAATATAAGGTTTCCTCTAACAAGTACACAATACCCAGAGGTGGATCGTTTGTCAATGGGTGAACCTGCCCAATCAACATCGGAGTATCCAACTACCTGGGTATGTCCTTTATCCTAATAGACAAGACCTTTTTTTGGAGCACATTTGATGTATCTCAGAATCAGGATAACAACATCCATGTCTTCTTGACAAGAGGAATTTAAGAACTGGCTTACCAACTAACTGTAAAAGAAATGTCCGGACGAGTAAATGTGAGATAATTCAACTTTCCAACCAATCTCATATATCTTCTTGAGTTAGATAGAGACTCTCCCTTATTGGGTAGTAGTTTGACACTTGAATCCATAGGAGTATCAGCTGGTTTAGCATTTAACAAACTTGTTTCTTCCAAAATATTCATAGCATATTTCGGCTGAGAAATCACCAAACCATCTTTAGATTGGACTACTTCAATACTTAAGAAATAGCGGAGTTTACCAAGATCTTTTGTCTAAGATTGTTTAGAGAGATGTTTCAACTGGAGTATTCAAAACAGAGTGGTCAGCTTCACTACGGACCATAGCAAATTGTTGTACTACAGTGTTGAATATGTCAAACCAAGCTCTCGGAGATTGCTTAAGACCATAAAGAGACTTGTGTAGCCTACAAACCATATTCGACGACTCCCCCTGAACAACAAACCCAGGTGGTTGCTCCATATATACTTCCTCTTCAAGATCACCATGTAAGAATGCATTCTGAGTGTAACCTTTGGCTACCAAGCGAGCTTTAAATCGATCAATGTTACCATCTGGATCAACCTTCACTGTAGAAAGCAACCCGACAACCTACTAAAGATTTCTCATGGGGTAAAGGAACAAGTTCCTAAGTGCCACTGCTTTAATGAACACACATTTCATCAATCATTGCTTGCCTCCACTCAGAGTGAGATAATGCTTCACCTGGAGTTTTAGGAATAGAAACAGAAGACAAAAGACAAACAAGTATACTGCAAAGGGGAAAGACGATGATAACATAAATTAATATAATGTGAAGAAGAATTTCGTGTTCGACGTATACTTTTTCGAAGGACAATCGGAAGATCGGACTCAGGTTGTAGGATCGGATCCGGTGATGGCAAGAGCGTCGGAGAAGAGTCTGTATTGACCTTAGGGACAGGTACGACAGACGTTGTGTGACGACGCTGATATGTTTGAAATGGGGGAGAAGTGAGGGGGGGTGTCAACCGTAAGGATATCTAGTGGGCCAGGTTCCCTAGAATGATGGAGGATATGTGAGTAGCAATGATAACTCTTTTGGGAACGATGATAACCAAGAAAGACACATTTAGTGATCGAGCTGATAGTTTATCAAGACCAGTTGAGAGATTGTGTAGGAGGAGAGTTAGGAAACAAGATTGAATAAGGGCATGCAATTTATGAGGTAACATGCTGTGAGCACCGCATCCCCCAAAACCGGAGAGGAACATTACCATAGAGAAGTAGGATCTGAAGGGTTTTTACGAGATGCCGATTTTTGTGTTCGGCCATCCTGTTTTGTAGGGGTGTATGAGGGCAAGATGTTTGCTGCAGAATACCATTAGATGACATAAAAGTTTGAAATTGTTGGGATGAACATTCACGTGCATTGTCACTTTTTAAGGTACGAATAGACAAACCAAATTGGATTCTTATTTCTCGATAAAATTGTTCAAAAATGAAAAACAATTCAGACCTGTTCTTCATTAAAAATAGCCACGTGCAATGTGAAAAATCATCAATAAAAGTTACAGAATACCTAGACACAAAACTAGACACACTACGCAAGGGACCCCAAACATCGGAGTGAAATAAAGCAAAAGGGGACGCAACTTGTTTATTGACTTGATCGGAAAAGTGACTACGGGTATGTTTCCCTAACTGACAAGACTCACAATGTAAAGTGGATAACTTAGATAAACTGGACATCAACTTTTGTAGCTTGGAAAGACCTGGATGGCCTAACTGCGCATGTATAATGAGTGGAGAATTTGTGGTGTAGCATGAGGTAGATGACGTAGAAAAGTAGTAGAGACCTTGAGACTCACATTTGACGCCAATTGTCCGTCCCGAACTTTGATCTTGCAAAGCAACATTACTATTAGTAAAGGTGATAGAACAACTAAGGGGACGAGTTAAACCACTAACTGACAATAAGTTAAATGGACAATTAGGTACATATAAGGCAGAAGTTGCAGAGAGGGATGGTAAAATTTGAACATTAACAATCCCTTGGGATCGGGTTTGAGAACCATTTGAGGCAGTTATAGTTGGTAAGAAACTAGAGGTAGAGAGGGAAGAAAAAAGACCATTACTAGTAATATGATCAGACGCACCAGAATCGATGACCCAAGTACCAAGAGGAGATGATTGAAAGAAGCAAACAGATGAATTACCAATATGTGCAACTGAAGCCGTGGAACTAGAGGTTTGATTAGTCTGACACAACTTGAGAAAATCCCCGTAACTTGGCATAAGGTTCTGAATAGAAGGTGAAGTCTACATAGTGTTTGGGTTATCAATCTGAGTTGCATTTACCTGACGAGAAGGTCTGCCATGTAACTTCCAGCATCAGTCGATAGTATGCCCAAGCCGGTTATAATGGTCACACTTGGGACGAGGTTTGGAGTTGGATGACCCTCCTCGAAGGCGATTCTAATTCTTGCCATGAGATGCAAGGGCAGCAGTGTCGCCTAGTGTCGAAGCAACAATAGATGGGGGGAAACCGGACCAAACGCATGACGTGTATCCAAGCGCAACAGTTGTTCACTAATTGTATCATAGTTAGGAACAGTAGTACCTAATAAAATCTGGTTACGAACGGACTCTAGTTCTCATGGTAGTCCTTTAAGTGCCATGACCGTGAAAATTTTACTTTGTTGTTCGGCATGAGTTGTTGCATCTTTTGCGTAAGGCATGAGGGTTGCGTAACTTGCTTTCAAGGTATCAAGCTTACTCAGCTAGGTTTGCATATCTATAGTCTCCAACTTCAGTGTGTCGAGTTTAAGGATGACATTGTATAGACAATGAACGTCGTTGGAGAAGACTTTCTTGGCCTTTTCCAAACCTTATAGCAAGTGGAGAAGGCTTGATACAGTGCTTGAAGGTTAGGTGCCATGGAGAACCATAACATAGTAAGTAGAGAGGGATCAGTTTTCTTCCATTTAGCGAGTTTGGCAGTGACAACATCAGTCAATTGTGTGGTTAGGTGATCTTCATATCCCTGACCATGAAAGCACATATGAAAGCACATATTGACAGCACGAGCCCATATGATATAGTTTATTGATCCATTAGTTTTTCACATGGGATAAGCGGAACTTTCGTAAACGAGACACAATCAGCGTCTCCCATGGCTTAAAAGACACAAAATCGGGGTTGTTTGAACTGGAGTACAAATTTCCAAGTCAAAATGAAAAACGGAGACTGGATCTGTGACCGGTGGATAAAATCGAGTGGGGCGACCGGAAAAACGGTCGGATCAGGCGCAAACGCACGGTCATGCGCTGGGAGGACGACGGCGCGTGAAGCCCACACGACGAGCGTGGGGTTTCTGCTGGCGGTGGGCGAAAGTGCGGTGGCTGGGTGGGAGGGTGGCGAGTCGGATGGTGGGATCAGTTTTTCGAAACGTCATCAGAAGGTTGTTGGAACAATGACGGCAGCAGTAGCGGTAAGGTGGTTACCAGATAATTTTGAGAAGTGAGAGAAACCGGAGTGATGACACGGTTTGCAAAAAAAATTTCATCGGAAGTCAGTGGGTCAACCAGGTAAAACACAGTTTAAAAAAAATTTGTCTCTTAATAGACTCTAAATACCATATTGAATTAAGACTCTAAATACCATATTGAATTAGGAGAAACTAAGACATTTAGGATAAAACCGTGTGTCTGAATAACATAACGGAAAATGTATTACATAGGAAAAAAGGACAGCTCATACTATTAATTACATAGCTATTCTATTTTATTCATATAATACACCGAGGAATATTCTCTAGAGAATATATACATAAATATCAACAGGTAGAAATAGAAAAAACGCACGGAAACATTAGACTCTAAAAAGCTATAAAGAAATTGTCAAAATAAAATCACAAACAGTAAACAAAAAGCAATAACTAGTTACCTTCCAATGGTAAGCAATCTTCAAAGTCTCGTAGAGAAACCTACCAAGCCTACCAACCTCATATTCAGTGCAGCAGCATATCATTGGTTGAAGGGTCTTACAAATAAGAACATCAATGTGGTTGACTGTGTTAAAAAAGGGGGTTCCAAGGGAATGAAGTTTGTGTACAAACATAGCACAATAAACAGCATCTGGCATACTGAAAGTACAGCGTGGAAATATACAGCGCTGAAGAAATTCCATGTTAATCTTCAAGGTATCAGGACAGGAACTTAACCATTTGTCTTTTGCATAAGAGAGCCGTCTGCTGACAGATGCGACATTTTCTTCATGTTTATGCAGTTCACTAATCAGACGGTCAAGAGATTCTTGAATTCTTTCCTTTTCTTTCTTCCTCTTGGTGATTGCTGAGCTTGAATTGTCAGAAATCTCTTCCAAAGATTTAAGACTAGCATGAAGCTTGGCTATTTCTGACTCATAACGATTTTTCGGAACGTACAAATCATATAATGTGAGACCCCAAAATGTTGCATAAAGATCAGGAGATAGGCTATTCCATGCTTTTGAAGGCAACATAGTTTTAACAGTAACAAGAAGATATGACCAACTGCGTCCAGTAATAAAATAGTAAATACTAATGCAGAAAGTAGCAGAAATAAACTTTGAATATCTTAATACACATCTGATATAGATAAAAAAAGTTAACATTTTAAGGCTCAAGTTTTTCAGCTGGAATGGCATCTAAATCCATTTAGACACCTTGGAAAGTTCAAACAGCCAACACAGTTTCGCATTGAAGTATAGCAGGAAAGGTTTTTAAAAAATCAGGGAAAAAGGTTAGAATTATAACCTAATCGGATTTTTGTTGGAGCCAGTATCTAGAAACATGCTACCAAGATGATCTGTAGGATCAGACTCTGAGTTCGTAGATGAATCACTTGCAGCATTTCTATCATCCAAGGGCCAGCAAACATTGGGAGTCCTCTGAGACTTGAAAAGTCTCATAACAGGGCGATATATCAAGAAAGCAACCTGACCAGAAAAAAACAAAAAAAAAAAGAATTAAATGCAGGGCGATGTTTCAAAGAACAGATACTGCAACTCAAGGGATGATGCCATGCAATAAGGACGTTTAAAAGAAACGTAGACACAGAAGGGAAACAAAAACCTCGGGATCCAAGTGGTAAAGATGGACCAGATCATCAAGTGAGGGAATAAGAATGGCATAATTTGACCCTGGTGTGACTGCACTGCCTAGAAAATCGACATATTGAAGAAGAGTTCCATGGCATCTATCAAACTGTTCACTGACCATCTTAATATATGGTGCATCTGCATTGGCGAGAACCCTGCAAAAACAATAAATTTCAGAATAAAGTCTCGATCATTGGCTCTAACATTTATAAGTTTAAGAGCTTACAGAGATCGATGCTGAGCAAGAAGAAGCAAGAGAGGGGTTGCCAACTTTGGTTCATCTTTAGGAAGTAATGCATCTCTAAGCCTGCTGGTTGACTTTATCAATGCCTGTATAAATCATTTGATCTCTTAATGACTTATAAAGTCAAACCATGCCACATAATAAAACATTAAACTATGTATAATGCTCTATAACTAAACTTCAACACATAAGACTTCAGAAGCTCATTGCACAAGATATATCATGAACTAGAGCATGAAAATTTTGTTTGTAAAACATCGACATCAAACACTATTCAAACAAGAGGCATCCACTCTGCTTTCTATTCAGACAAAGTAATGAAAAGAGACCAGCCATCAAATAGTCACTTAATCACAGTTCACATATGTCCATTGTTCAGGAAGTTCATCTTAAAGCTCAATCAATTACGCAACAAAACGATACTCATTCCATGTCTTCACTAAATTTTCCAAAACCATGTGCAAACAAGTGTTTATTAACCAGTTCAATAAGTACAAAACAAAAGAACTGGGCCAGTGAAAGTTAAAACTCTAAATCTCTGCACCAACAAAAAAACTACTCCCTCTGTCCCAAATTATAAGACGTTTTGGGCATTTCACACGAATTTAGAAACTTATTTATTACTTTATGGTAAAGACAAATTATGTATGACTTTACAGCAATGCCTCTCATAATTACACAGGAGAGAGAAATTAAAAGAGTTGAAAGAATAAATAATAATAAATACTTGAAAGGATATTTGAAAAATGTCATTAATATTGCATTGGGAATGTAAAGTGACTTATAATTTGGGGCAAATTTTTTTGGCAAAGTGACTTATAATTTTAATTTGGGATAGAGGGAGTATCTCCCTTTCACCTAGAGTAGAATTTCAATCTGTCAAACACATCATTTAATCAAACTCTTGCTTTCCGAAAATCTTTAAGATTTACTTGATGTACCTTATTATTTCGAGTCATCCCAAAGGAAGTTGCTTGATATTTCAGAGTCTCACCCCCTGCCATAGAATCCAGCTGTTCCTCAGTTAAGTTCTCTGTGTACTGAACATTTGCCATTTGTTGGATAAGCTCCTGAAAAACCAACAAAACAAATACTTAATTACAATCTGTATTTGGTATTTCATGAGCCATACCTCACAACAGTAGTCTTGATTAAAAAATTAACAAAGAATAAGAACCTGCAGTAGAACAAGCTCAATTCCTTGTCCCCTTTTTAACTGGTTCACAAGATACTGGAAAAGGCCCCGCAACTCCATTGATGGGTACTTTTTACATCTATAACAAAAAAAGTAACCTTGAATTCATGATAACATCTAAGAATATCATGCTCTTGAAACCACATACACAATGAAACAACATAGACAAACGCCATACCCAATTCTGAACAAAAACAGGCAATAACGGAGACAAGGTCAATCAAGTCAAACTATCTACAACATGTGAACAGACATAAATAAAAGATAAATACCCACACTGAATCTTACATAAAGCCAGAAAGAAATTTTAAGCCTGTTTCATCAACTAGAAGCATGTTTAGTGGAGACCACCTTATTATATAATTATGGGTTAAATGTGTTTAGTCCTATAAAATTACCAAATTTTGTTTTTCGTCTCAATAAAAAGTCTCAATTTATAGTTCCTAAAAAAATATCATATGCAGTTTTATTTTATACCTTGATGTTAAGTCAACACACATTTTTGAATGGTATTTTTTCTAGAATGCTTACAACATGATAAGTTCATCCACAAAACTTAGAATTTTTTTACATCAGATTAATTAAATGTGATTTTTAACCACCAACTACTCGAGATCAAAGTAACAAAACTTTAGACTTAGAAATCAGATTTTGAACATTTTGGTGGAGATTTTTTAAAATGTAATCAACATGGGTGCAAAAGAAGTTATTCAAATATATGTATTTTTTTAACAGAGACTCAAAAAACATATGTTAAATTAATAGAAGTGACTGAAACTGCTTGCAAGATAATTTTGTAAAGTGCAGTTCTTTTATGGGGGACAGAAAAACAAATTTTGATAATTTTCTAGGGCCAAAAAACATATTTAACCCTATAATAATTGCCACAAATTCCAAGACCTCTGCTAAAAAAATATCAAGATAATGCTGAATCTAATTGTAGAGAGGATATTGAATACTCTTGTGACCACCAGATGATTAATTTGTAAAATATAACCAATGGCCCATTCTGTCAATACATGGAGCATGCTAGGTCCTACATTTGCTCAAAAAACTTGAGGGTAGATAATATAGACCAAATTATTGTATTTATTTTGCATGATATTTGTTAAATTTCTTTTTCATGCTCCATCACACATTGTTTCCATAATTATTTCTTATTGACTGCTGCTTAAATTCATTTATACTTAATATTTCCCAGTCATTTCAGCCTGGTCTATTTCATTTCACAGTTAACCACATTTCTTTAAATACATATTTTCTCTTCAATAATTCAAGCAAGCAAACATCATATTTATTAAAAAATGATACTCTTTTCCTAAATTTTGCTATCTAATTCTCCGGATTTTACTAAATCATGAAAGATAGATCCTACATTCCCTCCATTCCTATTTTAAAACAACCTTATACCATAATTTATTAAGCAGATTTTTTTTCTCAAATCCAATATTACGTTCAAAGTAGCTAGTTAGTAATAAAACTAAGGCCCTCTAAAGAAACACCAAACCAAACATACACTTCAATTCACAAGCCAAGGAAATTTAGAGAGCTAATACAGCATATAACCATACTCCAACTCTATTTTATATTATTAAGAACTGAATATTACATAATAAATCAACATAATGCTTTGAAGAAAAAGAGGGTAAGAGAGAAGAAAACCAAACCAAACTGTTCCAGACAATTCAATCCCCTTCCCTTCAAAGCAAAAACAAATTTCTAGCCGAATAATGGCCCCCAAAGAAGTTCAGGATTACAAGTATGCTCAGCAAACACAATGCAGTGGCAACATATCATGCTTCATTTTCGAAGTATATATACCCCCGCAAGACCAGATACTACAAAAACTTGTCATGTTATTCATTCACCAGAAGAAGGGCAACTCAATCTCTATACAGACAACACAATCACAAATTGTCCTGTAGTAATGAATTATTGAAGGCCAACCAAGTAAACTATTGACGATTAAGTCAAATGAAATCTGAATTTTCTGATCTCCTCGTATTTGAAGAAAGAACATACTATTTAACACTACTACTTCTCCATTATGTCCACTTCAGGAAAAGCTAATGTTTTCTTTCATATCTTGTGGTCTCCATTAGCATCATAAGGTGAAAGTAATAACTAAAGGAGTATTCCACTTACAAGAAAGCTACTACCAACTTAAGTCTTATCAGATGGATCCAAGCCTACAAATTATCAGCTCCATGCCAAGGACAAAGCATTCACGTCCATTTACCAGAAAAGCAGCTTCAGAAAGAGTTGATGGTTTCTTTCATATCTTGCAGTCACCATTAGCATCATAAGGTGAAAGTAATAATTAATGGAGTATTCCACTTACAAGAATGCTACTACTAACTTAAATCTCTTCAGATTGGAACCAAACCTACGAATTATCAGCTCCATGCCAAGGAGAAAACATTAATGTCCAAAGTTGGGTTTCCGCAATGACTCATCATCATATAGCAATAATCCAAATTAAACAGTCTGGGATTTTCCTTCCCTACAAGGCCAGCAGCTTAGTAATTTGATCCCCAAAATTTTTGAAACCCATGACCAATTAAGCAAAGACAAAATGTTTAACATATGGTATACGTATCTGTCTCCCTCCTGAACTTAAGTGCCCCATTAAACTGTCATTTCATTATTGACATTAGAAATGACCAAAAGTCGTTGAGAACAGCGGGTATCATGTATACAATGCAAATAATTCTTCACATTAAAATCACTCCATTATTTTATCTCCACTAGATGACTTTCAACATAGATCATTGAGAATCACAAATATCGTGCATACAAAACAAATGGCTTCCAACTGATATTACTGCACATTGTAAGCACTCATTCTTTTATCTCCATTAACTAATTATGTCTGGGTATTGAACTTCCAAGCAACCAATGAGACATTAAAAACCAACTTAATGAAAAACTTCATTTAAATCAAATTATTCTCCATCACTCCGTCTATCGTGGTAGTCCTATTGCAGTTGACAAATCACTTGTATATCTTAAGTGGCACGTTAATCTTATATATTGTCCTTAAGAAATTACAAGGACAATGGAATAGTGGAAGTTTGAACTTCGAACTTTGAAAGGATAACAAAGAAATCCCCACCCCTTTCAACCAATGAATATTTGTTTCAAAACATCTGTCGCCAAATAACAGTAACTGCACATCAAACAGCCGCCGGCGCATGCCCACCAACTGGCAAGCCAAGTTGTTTGAATTTATCTGAACTGCCAGTCAGGAATACAAAATGCTGCTTTGCCCAGTAATCCTGCTTTTGCTAAGGTTGAACTGCAACCGGGAATTTGATACAAGGCACTCCATTTCCGGATATATCTAAATTCTATAGGATGCCGTACATGTGCAAAAATGACTAGGGAATGTTATTATCAATAATACACATGACATAATTCCAAAAAAATAAAAATTTGCAAAAAATAGCTATAAAAAGTCAAATATCACCCAAACAACAATAAAAAGAAAATCCCATTATAAATTTAATCATAAAAGGAAACCCAGTAAGATTCAGTCACATATCCCGATGGACGGTAAATTTTAAAAGGATCATAGTTGCTTCCTATAACTTAACCAAATACACAGGATAACTTGACAAGAAAACTAAATATAATAGAAGTGCAAAGGAAAACAACAATACGTACAGGTGGCCCCAAAATGAAGCTAGAGATTGAAGCCAATCTGACAAATTAAGCCCATCATCCTTCAACTTATCACGCCCACCAAGTGCCAATCGCTCAATAACAACGTATTCCAATATATCATATTCAAGCTGTTATAACAAAAATAAGGCTCCAAATCAAAACAATCTATCAATATTGAAAACAACTTCCAAAAGCAGAACATGATACATGAAACAGTTAGAAACAACAAATGGGAAAGTACCACGACTTATATGAAAAGAAAGAGGGTTGAGCTTCAAACTAATTGGAAGGTTTCCTTTCATCCATAGATGGTTGTGTTAGCATAATTCAAAGGATTGAAAAATAAATACTGTCTAAGGTCACACATCTCGTACTGCTTATTATGAGTTCACATATATGATATTACTAGTAGATGCAGGGCAGTGAACAAGAAAGATAGCAAAAGGAAAATATATTTAAAAAAATACAAACCTGAGTCAAATACTTAAACGCGTCCACCACAGGAGTAATCATGTCTCTGTATGCCTCAATCTACATATCACACGATATAAAAAAAAAAAAAAAAATCAACATAACAGAATGCACAGCGTCATATACATCAGGGCCCTTCAGACTTTGCAGAATACAAGCCCAACTAAATCAGCACCTGGTGAACAATTGTTCGAAGGACAGTCATAGGGTTGGCATGAGCTAATTTTGCAACCATCCGACCAAGCTGCTTTAAATTTTCCTTTGCCAGCCGCTTCAAAATACGTCTAGTGTCTAACTGTAAAAAATAAAGCAAAGAGAACAAAAATAACAAGGTATCAGGCTTGCGGCATTGAGCACAGATCGTCCACACACGGCACATATATAGATTGTCGAACCTTGGCAGTTTGTCTGGCAGCCAACAGCATAGGATAGCGATCATCATCCTTTTCCCATTCACCGTATAATCGATAGCGTGCCTAGATAGGTAACACTCATCAACCAATCTTGTAGATAACAGATAACAATATATCAGGTAAAAGGATCAACAGCAAGTGCAAAGGAAAACCTCATAAGGAAGAAGACTCATTAGTTCCCAAATTTCCTGGCCAACAGCTGGATTAGCAGGAACCAACTGTAGAGAAGGTAGTAGACAAGCTCCCAAAGCATCCTCGACTCTTAGCTTTGCTTCCTTCAAATGCAGGTGAGGATTTCCAATACCGTGAAATTGAGAACTCAAGGCATTATCGCCATGACTTACAAGCTCAAGAGCAGAAAGGTAATAACCTCTCAAAACCCTAGAAACCTACACATGTTTGAGGGAGAATAAGGAAGAAAGGGAAATCATAATTAGCATAAAATATACCGAAACAAATTTTACCAGAATGTTAAAACAACTTAATGCACCTTCTGTAGCAGCATAGTAT